CCCGGGCCCCGCGCCGGGCCGGGCAGTGGGGCCGAGCCGCCGCACCCCCGGCATGGCCCGGCAGGGCTCGGGGGCCATGCTGCCCTCGGGGGGCCTGGGCTTCCCCCCGCAGAACCTGGCCCGCGTGGTGGTGTGGGAGTGGCTGAACGAGCACGGGCGCTGGAGGCCCTACTCGGCCGCCGTGTGCCACCACATCGAGAATGTGCTGAAGGAGGACGCCCGCGGGTCCGTGGTGCTGGGCCAGGTCGATGTCCAGCTGGCCCCCTACGTCATCGACCTCCAGTCCATGCACCAGTTCCGGCAGGACACGGGTAAGGGGCTGGCACCGAGCCAGGGACATCAGCCACCGAGTCACACGGCCATCCTTCCATCCCTCCATCCTTCCATTCCTCCATCCTTCTATCCCTCCATCCTTCCATCCATCCATCATTCCCTCTCTCCCTCCCTCCTTCCATCTCTTCGTCCTTCCATCCACTTGTACACCCCTCCCTCCCTCCTTACATCATTCCATTCCTCCATCCATCCATCCATCCATCCATCTCTCTGTCCCTCCATCCTTCCCTCTTTCCTTACATCCCTCCATCTTTCTATCCATTCTTCCATCCATCCATCCATCCATCCCTCCATGCCTCCATTCTTCCATCCATCCATCCCTCCATCCTTACATCCTTCCTTACATCCCTCCATCCTTTCATCTCTCCCTGTGCGTATGTCTGTTGTTCCTTTCATCTGTCTGTCCAGCTGTCCATTCCTCTGTGAATCTGTCACTGTTTGTCTGTCATTCCATCCATTCATCCATCCATCCACCTGTCCATCCATCCATCCATACATCCATCCATCTATCCAGCCACCCCCTCATCCTTCCTTCCCTCCCTGTGTATCTCTGCTTACTGGTCTGTTGCTTCATTCCCACATCCATCCATCCCTCCATCCCCCCCTCCCTCCATCCCTCCATTCCTCCCTCCATCTGTCCATCCATCTGTCCCTCCCGTTCCCTCTCTCCTCCCCTCACCCTGCTGGGCTCTGGTCCCCCCATGGACCTCTCCGGGTTCTTCCTGCCCTTTCCCTCTCCATCCTGGACCTACACCCTGGAGGGATCTGTCCCCACATCCCTCCATCCCCTCTCCCCACCGGGGCTGCTGTGCTGGGTGGTGTCCCATTATCCCACTGTCCACTCATCTTCCCCTCAAAGCTGCTCCGTGTGGGATCCCCCCAGGACTGGGCAGGCCCCAGTTTGGGCACTGGGAGCTGTGGTGGGCACTGGGCTGGTTGCAGATGCGCGGCTGTGCCGGTTGGTGCTGCAGCAGCACATCCAGGCCACGGATCCTGTGGGAAATCAGAGCTGGTCCCACACTGGGACCAAGCCCAGACCCCGTTAAGTGTGTCCCCGTCACGGTGTGACCCATTAAACCAGCGTGTGCCAGCTGTGCCACAGGGGATGTGCCATTCTGGGTGCTTCCCTGCCCATCCCTGCACCCCTGCCAAGGGCAGGATCTGGCTGCAGGCCAGGCAGAGCAGGGCAGGGACCTACCACACATGGGGTGACACCCCCAGCTCCCACTAGACTGGCCTTGGGATGCCTCAGAACAGGAATCCCCGGCTGTGCCACCTCAGCCTGGCCACCAGTGCCACTGTCACAGTCACCAGGGATGCCGAATGACCCCAAACGAGGACATGGCTCCTGCCAGGGGCTGGGGACAGTGATGGGGATGAAGCCAGGGACCTGCCCCCTGCCTCTGCCATCCAACCTGGCTCGGAGTCGGTCTCCAGCCGGTCACGGACTTGGCAAAGGGCAGCTTGGCACTGGCAGCCCTGAGTCAGCGCAGACCCCGCGGGTCGTGCCGGTGCCCGCACTGACGCAGAGCTGCAGGAGCCACCGGGACACCCTGGCTGTCCCCATGCCACCTCCTGCCAGCTTTGGCCAGGGCCCATCCTCTGACAGCATCCCATGGCTGTGGTGCTGGAAGATCCCTGGGAATGCGTGCCCGAGGTGGGGCCACGGCCGGGTTTGGGGCGACGTCTCTGCTGGGAGCATTCCCGGGATGTCCCCGGTACCACAGTCCCTGTGCCAGCAGGGCTTGGGAACAGGGGTGCTGAGAGAGGGGCCCTGCTGTGCCCAGGGCTGGCATGAGAGGGGACAGGGCCATTGCCTTCAGCACGTGGTCTCCATGTGCCCCATCCCTGTATCCATCTCTATCCATCATCTCTTCCCACGGGTGAGGCCCGGGGGTCGGAGGCTGTCACGTGCCTTGTGGTGCTTGGGGACACGAGGGTGCCCTGGTCTGAGGGTGCCTGCTGTGACATGGGGACACGGGGAAGGTGGGCAGGGGGCTCCTTGGCCCATCCTAAACCCCCCAGGGAGGGAGAAACCCAGTGATGGAGTGAAACGAGGTGACCCCGTTCCGAGAGCGGGGACACGTGTCCCCTCCCGGTGGCCCTGGGGACACTGGCTCGGTCCTGTGGCTCCTGCAAGGCTGGGAGGGGGGGGAGGGGCTGGGGGGGGCTGGGGACAGCTGGTGGCCCTTGGGGACACGGAGCTGAGTGTGCCCACGGGCTTGGGATGGGGAATCCTCCCACAACCCCTGTGGGACGGGGATGTGAGGGACAGGGGGATGTGGGATGGGGATGTGAGGGACAGGGGGATGTGGGATTTGGGATGTGAGGGACAG